GTCGGCCGGCCGTTTCCCCCCTCTCCTGACAGGGGAACGGGGCCCAAACATTTGACCCCTTTTGTCACCAGCCTTTCTTTAGACAGGAAAGGGTCCGGCGACGTGCGCCAGGTTGTCATGAGACGCCAGGCCTGGGCAGGCCCGGCTCAAGACCTGACTGACCGTGGAGGTGGGAGGTGGGGGGCAGGAGGGCAGGAATAGTGCCGGGGGTTGCAGCTAGGAAAAGGCCACTGACCCTACCATCCGGGCACGCCAGAAAAACCACAGGCACCCAGCGGCCTTCCACGGGATAACCAGCTCTTTGGCCCCCCCCCATTTCCCTCTTGATGCTCACGAGAGGTGGTCTTTGATGCTACGCTGGCATGGCCTTGTGACTAGAGCAGAACCATGTGCTGCGGCTGGATCCCAACCCTCCCAAAAGCATCAGCCGGTGAAACGGGGAGTCCTCTCGTCCCCTTCCAGCCTCCCCGCATCCTGCCTCCTCCACCAGTTCACGGCTTGTTTGTCCTCCGACCAACGACGGGCCGAACCAGCCTGTTGCTTGTTGGCAAAGGGAGGAGAGGACTCTGCGGGCCGCGGCTTGCCGTATACCGCAGGAGAGCCACCGCCGTCTCTCTACCGTGCATTGCCAAGGGTTCCGACAGCATTTGCCGAGGAAGGGGGCCCCGATTCTTCTTGGGGACAGGGATTGCGTGGCTCAGGAAATAATCACGGTGCCCTGGAAGTTTGCTTGTGCCAACAGAGGCTTCCCCGCCTGCCCTGCCCCCCCCACTGGAGAGATGGGGAGCAGGGGCGCTCCCTTCCTTTTAAAAAAGCTGGGTCGTAAGGCCCCTCTCGGCCTTGCGTGGTCCGCAAGCCACGTCTGGAAGGGGAGATTCAGGGACAGGAGAGGGGAAGGAGGCTGAGAACGGGAGCTCCCGCCTTTCTGTGCAAGGAATGTGGAATTCCTTCCTGGTTCCTGGGAGTGCAACGGAGGAGCTGGGGAACGGAGGGAGCTGCACAGAATCCAGCCCCAGGAGGAGAAGGAAGGGGAGCGGCAGAAATCTTTCTCCTTCTCTCATGCTGTTTGGGGGTCACCTCGCAGCCACTGAATGACGAGAGGCTCTCGACAAGACAGGGGAGAGAGTCTCCGCTGCCCTTCCGCCTCTGCTCCTCTTGAACCCTTGACCAAGGGGCTCTTTCTACAGCTTCATCCCCAGCGCGATGGGATTTCCATTCGAGTCGGAGCCACGCCGGTGGCAATCCAGGGCGATGGGGCACGAAAGGAAGGGGCGAGGAGCCAGCTTTTCGCCGCCAGCCGACGGGGCCCATGCCAGATCCCCAGCCAGACAAGCCCTGGGTGGAACAGAGCACCATGAACTGAAAAAACGCGGACTCACCTCCGGGGCCTTTGCTGTCTTGGTAGACCGGCCTCAGCAGCTGGAAGAGGCAAAGATAAAAATCCTGTTACTCCCTTTCCGCAGAGAGCACAGGGGTACTCTGTCTGCCTATGCAGAATGTCGTGCTGGGGACAGGATTCAACATCTTTTGACATCTCAGGTTTCCCTTTTTTAAAAAATTGGAAGCCCCTGGGAAATAAGCAGCAGCAGAGGGTGTACAGCGATGTGGAGAAACTCATGGGAAAGCAGCCAAACAAGCCCCTGTGGCTTGCGTTTGTGCTGAGAAAACTCAGCGGCTTTGCCCATCCCACCGTTCAGACGGCACGGGGTGGTGGTGGAGGTTCTTCCACTCGTAAGCCAAACGCGCCCAGGAGGTTGGCATGGATGGGGGCCCCGACTTTCCCTGACCTTGAGCCTTCCCCACAGAGCAGGATCAGCTCGGAGGAGCTCCCACCTGGAGCCCGAGGCTGGCTTGACCACCTTTTCCTCTTGAGGGGCCAAAAGGAGAAAGGGGTCGTGGTGTCATGAGCATCTCTCTCTGTCCCCCCACAGTTGCTGGCCTCTGCCCTAGACGGCCTCCCTTACCTGGCTTCCAGGATTGAGCGGCGCCAGAATGATGTAGTTCTTGTCTCGGTCGGCCCCCGAGGGGGGACGCGAGAGGAGCGGGGGCAAGGTCTGCTGCTGGCGCTGCCGGGGGGCCTTCCCCAGCTCCGTGTAGCGCTCCCAGTTGTTCAGCACCAGCCCATCGTGGCCGTCGTACACCACGTGGCAGCTCTGGCGCTGTTCTGGCGGCCGCGACGCCCGGCCCACCCCGTTCTTCTCCCTTTTTTTGGGCGGCAGCTGCAGGTCAAAGGTGGACTTGCAGGAGGAACGCCGGAGGCCCCCTTCCAGGCCGGGCTTTACGTGCGGAACGATGCGCCAGACCAGCAGTATAATCTCTTGCGGGCAGTTTCTGCAAGGAACCGGGTGGGGGGGGGTGTTACAAGGGCCAAAGTCAGTATTAGATCTCTGTGCCCGCCATTTCCTGTAAAAGATGCCCTTTCTCCCTTGGCAGAAATGGCGAGCCACAACTTTTAGTGGAGCCTCCACCCAGAGAGAGAGAGAGAGACACACACACACACCTCGCTCTTCCACTTCCGAGCGCCTGTGTGCAAACTCTCCTGGGGTACCAGACAGCCAAAATATTGCTAGAGAAAAAAAATCTAGTCCGACTCCAGGACAGACCTCTCCATGGCTTCCTAGAATCATAGAGTCATAGAAGAACGAAGCTGCCGGGGGACTCTAAGGCCATGGAGTCCAACCCCACCCACCCCCGTTCTTGAAGGTCCCTGACTCTTCTGCACTTGCTCACGCGCTCACAGGTCCCCTACCCTCCCTACCCTCTGATCCACAAATGGTAATGAACAGAGAGATCCCATTTCCACCTCTCTCTCTGGCTGCCTGCCCGAACGGGTCTCGTACCCACCGGATCTCGTGTGCCAAGTCCACGCATTTCCAGCGCTCCACGGGCTGCTCGTTCAGCCGAAGGAGGGTGTCCAGCTGCTGCAAGCCGGCCTTCTCCGCTGGGCCCCCTGCCGGAGTGCGCAGGAAAGAAGGGAGGTTATGGGGGCACCACTCCTGGACAGGCTTGCCCCAGGGTTCATGGACCTCTCCTTTCTCTGGGAGACAGGATGGCCACATGCCAGAGAGGACAGGGCTCCTGTGCACTGGACTGCTGTGAAGAGGAGGACCTCGCAGCAGGGCTGTGTTTGCAGGACCACTCTACGCCACCTATGCCACGGGACTCTATGGTTCTCTGCGGGAGCCCAGAATTTTGATACTTGGATCAAACTAGCAGAATGCCTTGGACTGTCTGGAGGGGAGCTTCTGAGATCACCCCGAATGTCAAAGACAGAGGTGTCTTCATTCACGACTACAGTGGTTTGCACTCCATCCCAATGACATTTCCCTCATGGGGTCAGTAGGGGGGAGGGTGCATGGTGTGAAATGAAGTTGATCCTGTCCCCTCCCCCTCCACCGGCCCCACCCTCGCTGCATTGCAAGAAAGCAGGGACGGCCGGGGTTGGGAGCCGGATCTGGTCCTGCCTCCTTTTCAGTGACCCGGAGGATTCTATGCCAAATGTGGTTGGCTTGGCACTTCAGAATCCAGCCCCAGGAGGAGAAGGAAGGGGAGCGGCAGAAATCTTTCTCCTTCTCTCATGCTGTTTGGGGGTCACCTCGCAGCCACTGAATGACGAGAGGCTCTCGACAAGACAGGGGAGAGAGTCTCCGCTGCCCTTCCGCCTCTGCTCCTCTTGAACCCTTGACCAAGGGGCTCTTTCTACAGCTTCATCCCCAGCGCGATGGGATTTCCATTCAAGACGGAGCCACGCCGGTGGCAATCCAGGACGACGGGGCACGAAAGGAAGGGGCGAGGAGCCAGCTTTTCGCCGCCAGCCGACGGGGCCCACGCCAGATCCCCAGCCAGACAAGTCCTGGGTGGAACAGAGCACCATGAACTGAAAAAACGCGGACTCGCCTCCGGGGCCTTTGCTGTCTTGGTAGACCGGCCTCAGCAGCTGGAAGAGGCAAAGATAAAAATCCTGTTACTCCCTTTCCGCAGAGAGCACAGGGGTACTCTGTCTGCCTATGCAGAATGTCGTGCTGGGGACAGGATTCAACATCTTTTGACATCTCAGGTTTCCCTTTTTTAAAAAATTGGAAGCCCCTGGGAAATAAGCAGCAGCAGAGGGTGTACAGCGATGTGGAGAAACTCATGGGAAAGCAGCCAAACAAGCCCCTGTGGCTTGCGTTTGTGCTGAGAAAACTCAGCGGCTTTGCCCATCCCACCGTTCAGACGGCACGGGGTGGTGGTGGAGGTTCTTCCACTCGTAAGCCAAACGCGCCCAGGAGGTTGGCATGGATGGGGGCCCCGACTTTCCCTGACCTTGAGCCTTCCCCACAGAGCAGGATCAGCTCGGAGGAGCTCCCACCTGGAGCCCGAGGCTGGCTTGACCACCTTTTCCTCTTGAGGGGCCAAAAGGAGAAAGGGGTCGTGGTGTCATGAGCATCTCTCTCTGTCCCCCCACAGTTGCTGGCCTCTGCCCTAGACGGCCTCCCTTACCTGGCTTCCAGGATTGAGCGGCGCCAGAATGATGTAGTTCTTGTCTCGGTCGGCCCCTGAGGGGGGACGCGAGAGGAGCGGGGGCAAGGTCTGCTGCTGGCGCTGCCGGGGGGCCTTCCCCAGCTCCGTGTAGCGCTCCCAGTTGTTCAGCACCAGCCCATCGTGGCCGTCGTACACCACGTGGCAGCTCTGGCGCTGTTCTGGCGGCCGCGACGCCCGGCCCACCCCGTTCTTCTCCCTTTTTTTGGGCGGCAGCTGCAGGTCAAAGGTGGACTTGCAGGAGGAACGCCGGAGGCCCCCTTCCAGGCCGGGCTTTACGTGCGGAACGATGCGCCAGACCAGCAGTATAATCTCTTGCGGGCAGTTTCTGCAAGGAACCGGGTGGGGGGGGGTGTTACAAGGGCCAAAGTCAGTATTAGATCTCTGTGCCCGCCATTTCCTGTAAAAGATGCCCTTTCTCCCTTGGCAGAAATGGAGAGCCACAACTTTTAGTGGAGCCTCCACCCAGAGAGAGAGAGAGACACACACACACACCTCGCTCTTCCACTTCCGAGCGCCTGTGTGCAAACTCTCCTGGGGTACCAGACAGCCAAAATATTGCTAGAGAAAAAAAATCTAGTCCGACTCCAGGACAGACCTCTCCATGGCTTCCTAGAATCATAGAGTCATAGAAGAACGAAGCTGCCG